GCCGGTATTTTTCAATCGGCTGGCATCATCAGCGCCCTTATGGACCCAATTCAATATCAAAGAACTGTCTTGAAAATGTCCTATCTTATTCAAAAATAAATGTGTATTGTTATTTGAAAGGAATTTCTTAGTTTTTATTTTAAATTCGATTAGGGTTCGACTTTTCCGAATAGAACCTGGACGAGAATTCCAGATAGTCCCATATCTTATGGTGTAGAAATTTGACCGTTGGGACTTTGTGAATTTGGGAATCCTTATAATATTCTCGCTATTTCTGGTGTTCCTAGGGGCGTTTTGGTTGGTAAGTAAATTCATTTTGAGAATATCTTGATCGAGGGTGACCTTGAATAGGAAGTTTAGACCATTTTGAAGTCTTCTGATCCAGAGTGGTTGAAGACCGTATTTATGATATAGTTCTAAGTATGAATCCTGGATGCCATCACTTCTAGACAAAGATCTAGTAAAACGTCTCTGAATGCCTTCTTGTTTCTTTCGGCCGTCTGAGGGCATTATGCCGAAGAAAATTGAACAGTTATCTAGGGGAGGCAAAACATACATTTTGAACAGTTGTATTCTTAGTGCATTTAAGGTGAAATTTTTACATATGAATCCACACAGACGAGTGGCTTTCGGTGATAATTGTTGGACGTGGGGAGATAAATCAAGGGTATTTGTATAGCTGAGACCTAAATCTTTTACCGATTGGGCCTCTGTTATTTCATTATCCTCGAAAATTATGGGGGGAAGTTTTTGTGGGCCAAATATCAGGAGATGGCATTTTTCGGGTGAAAAGGGCATCTGCCACTGACTACTCCATTCGCTGAGTTTTCTGAGATCAGTTTCAATTGTTCTATGAATATTGGCTACTGGATTCCCGTTATATGCATATGCAATTTTAAGGTCGTCCGCATATAAAAACGTCTTAGCTGAGACAGATATGGACGATAAGTCGTGAATATATATAAGAAATAGAAGGGGGCCTAGGATAGTGCCTTGAAGTACTCCACTGGTAATAGGGGATGGTTCTGAGACGACGTTTCGAATTTGCACCACCTGGTATCGGTTTTGAAGATAGGATTTAAGAAAATCGAGAAGGGGTGGCCTAATTCCATGACTTTTTAGCTTTATCAGTAGTCTTTTATGGGGGACTTTGTCAAAGGCCTTTCTTAGATCGAAGTATATTGAAGCTACTGTGTTTCCATCATCTCTATTGATGGAAACGAATTCAAAAAAAGTAAGGTGGCAGGACTGACATGACTTTTTGGGCAAAAATGCATGTTGAGAGGAGTGAATGAGGTTGGCGTTCATGAGATGGCCTAGCAATTGATTATATACTATTTTCTCGAGGAATTTAGCTATAGCTGGTGTTCGGTGAACACCACGATAGTTTTGGGTATGAGATCGGTTGCCGCTTTTAAATATGGGCGCAATGGTCGACTATTTCCACATGTTCGGAAAAATTGCATTTGACTGGAGTAGGGTGAATAGCTTGGATAGGAGTATTGGAGCATATGTCATATGCTTCACAATACATGGTGGGATTTTGTCTGTCCCATAGGATTTGGTGTTTGATAGTTGTTTGATGGCTACTTTAACAGTTTATTCACTAAAATGGATCTCACTAAGGATGCGTCCAGTCACCTCGGTCGGTTGGGGGATGGTTCCCTCTTCCACTGTGTAGTTAACTGAGAAGTATCTGTTGAATAAGTTTACTATTTGTTTATTATTGGTTATACCTTGCCCTAATTCATTAATAATAGTTCGTGGCCCTGACTGTCGATGATTACTCATTAGTTTCTGAAACATCTGAGCTGTTCGTTCGGGGGATTCTAGTGCCCGATGTTCTGCTTCTATGGTCTTTTGTGTTTCTATTTTCGTGACTAGGTCGTGAATTTCCCTAATTCGTCGAAGTGTGGAAAAATAACTCACAGAGGGGTCGCGTAGCTGTTTTTGTAACTTTTTTAGTTTAGTTGAAAGGAAGTTCGGGATTGGTGATTTCTTATACGGGAGTCTTCCGTCTATCAAGGTATCTCGAATTACAAATAGGACAGAGTATAATAGGTTAACTGCTTCCATAGGGGATGTTGAAAGAAGATATGGGCTCCAGTCCAATGATCTTCTATAGTTGTTCATGGAGTCCTCGTCAAGTTTTTTGGGTTTAGGCGGGTGTTGCTAAAATGGGGTGCTAGTTTTGCGTTTAAGGAGAGTGTTGATATTATTGCTTTGTGGTCACTTTCAAAGGTCGCACAGTCGTAGTGCATATAGAGGTTCGTTAACTACGTGGTAATTGTACCTAAATGGAGTTTCAGTTGGGAAGGTGTAAAAGCCAAAGTAATTTGAAGGGTTGTCATTAGGTGGTAAGGAGTTTGCAACGCTAGAGTGATTTGGCTTATTCCTATGCCATGCAGGTGGATTTTGGGGAGTCGAGATGCCGTTATAGAATCTTGTTTGTTTTTGGTTAGAATTTGGTGGGCTTCTATTTGTTATTTCAACATACCTAGGGCGTTTTGGTTGTGTTGATGTGCTTAGTAAGGCCTTTTGGTTTATGTGTCTTGTTTGGTAGTCGTTTCCTAGTACTGACTGATCGGTCTTGGGGGATGTAGTAAAACTTAAACTGATATCTAAGGGTGTCGCATGACTCGGTCCTGGAACTGCATCATCGTTCTGTTCTGGTTGAACGTTGTTATTTTGTTGTGCCTTCCTCGTTTGTTTCTGACCAGCAGTCCTAACTGCTTTTGCAGTTGCGCGTTTTTCATCATGAGAACTAGAGTCAGACGTACTTGCTGGAGGTCCTTCTGCGGGGGCTGTGGGTTTATCATTTGGTTTACGCTGACCTGTGTATTTCTTTTTATTAGTTCTTGAAGTAGAAGTAGTGGCTAAAGGTTCAGTTGAGGGACCGGAGTGCTGATTATCGTATTTGTAGCTGGTGTCTTTTTCCCGAAGTTTAGGTCTTTGCATAGGTGTCAAACCTGGACCTATAAAGGAGTTTAGGTTCCGCAGATTTCTGTTTAATTCGGGATTTTGTAGGACAATCTCAGCTTCCGCCTGTGAGTAGAATGTTACTAAGACGGGTTTTTTTGCTTCTGGAGTGAAGTCTTTTAGTGTTAGCTACTCTGATATTTAAGCCACACGAATGCATAAAATGTTGAATTGATGGTGTCGAATAAACGGTGTGGGGTATATTACGGATAATTAAATTGAGCCTGCGTTTCGATCTATCCGCGAATTCTGACGAAACTAAGTGTATAATCGATTCAATTTGTGGTAGGCTCGTTAGGTTGTTCGTGAGTCTATTTGAGTCTGTTAGTGAATCGAGAATCGTAAAAATATTTTCATGTTTCTCGATGAACTTTTGTAAACGGACGATGGCCGAAAGATCTACTTTGTCGACAGTAAACCTAACATCAGTCATGGTTAAATGCAGAGAGTGTAATGGATTTATGTGTTATTTTCGACAGCTTATAAAAATCGACGCAGAAATATGTCAAATATTTCAGTTATAAATGAATTTAAACTTATCTTGTGTCTAAGGATTTTGAACGGTTGTGCACAAACGGGCTGCGGGGCCTAAAATAGAATTGCTTTGTCCGCTTAACGAGAACATGATCTGCGAGAAAACGGCAGCTGGACTAGTCATATGTGGGCGCCACAACAACCGCAGAAGCCGATCACAGTGGGATTTGCCTGTTAGTCGCAATAAACACCTCATATTAGTAGATTTAATTGAAAGTTCTTGTATACCAAACTGAGCATTGTAATTGCCTAATAGCAAACGAATTCGCCGCCCGCCAGCGTATTCGCTAGGGGTAATTAAGCTTCAGCGAGGTACGTGACTTAATTGGTTGTTAGGTCGGCTGCGCCGGGGTCGCGAAGGAAGCAAACGGCCGTGTGCGCTTGCACTGGCTTGTCGACTACCTCCGGTGCGCGAAAGTACCCATGCTCTACCCGGCGCCACATCTTCTGTCTTGCGTGGTAGTGCGTACACCGTTTCTGCCTCGACGCTCTCACTGCCTACGTGACCCCTTTTTGCCTAACTGGTTTTGTTGACTGTTAGTGAAATGTAGGTTGTATTGTGCTAGCAGTCGAAATCACCGACGTCATGCACGTAGGGAAACGAAAAAAGTAATACGAAGAATCAGTAAAAAGGTGAGGAAATGTCGTCTTCGCCAGACATGTTCATTGACAATTCTGATTTCGCGACCTCTTACGACTTCGAACGTCCGTCTACGTTCGAGTCTCCTCATGTCTCTACGTAAGAAGAAGATCGGCAATTTCAAACGTACGGGAAAAGGAATCAGACGCATATGACACGTTGCGAAAGTCAGCATTTCGCTTACAAACGCCATACTTCCATCTGAACGACCTTCCGCAGATTGCGAGACCAGTTTGCCGGATCTCCCCACCGATGAACGAACACTGTTGGTCGCAGCAACCTTCTCTGCACACGTCATGTCAACGGGCTGTGGCGACCATGCTCATTTGGGTCTTGTAAGCCAGCTGAACGGCGAGTAGCAAAAAGTTGAATTTGGTTGTTTTTTTTCTGGAAGCGTAACTATAATGAGTCCGGTTAACGATTATGGAGCCATAAATCCCACATAAGTAGACTAAATAAACTGCATAACAGTACTCTGTCCTGTCGTTCAGATCGACTGCAAAGCATTTCCCAATCAACAGATAACCATGCACGGTCCGCGTTGAACTGTTGTAAAGACAGAAATACGGCGTCATGCAGGACGATCGCGCAGTCGTGGGTATCCAAATAAAGGGAGATAAGCGATCTTATTACCATATCCGAGCAATTCTTGGTTTGATTTTGCTTGCAAGATAGTGAACTCGATATGCATGATTGTCGCGATAGAGGAAATAAAGTCACGTACCATATCTTGACAAAAAATATACCTCTCGTAACTTGAACACTCAAGCAACTTGAATAATTGATCAATATAAACACAGACTTTACGCTGGCAGCTTTTTTGACTTCTTTGGGTCGTCCTGGCGAAATGCATCTTGCCGGTTGGCCGAGAGGCACTGCCGAGAAGTTTCTACACCCAGCGCCTACTGTAAAAACAATAACTTTGTAAGTCTCCTTGTGTCCGCCCTGTGTTATTCCCCACCGTTTCTTTGTAATGAAGACCATTATGTTCCACAAACGTCATTATTTCTACGCCACTTTCTTCCTTTCTGACTAGGCACTCGCGAGAGCAGCGAACACGTACCTCGAAAAGTCTTTTTTATGTTCCCATCCTCCATGCGCCATTCCGTATATCCTACATCTAGAAATGTAACCCCTAACTGTACCCTCCACAGCCGTCGCCTTAAGGCGAATTTCCAGCCGTAGTTCCATCCTGAACTAATGGCTTTGATATGTCTATAGATCCCATTCTGTAAATCCCCGTCGTTGCTTAAATCCTTTTGCAAGTGTCAAAAGTATCCGTCGCCCTAATGCGTCCTACCGCCAGTGGGATCGACGCCTTCGATGCGTTAAGGGATGTTTCGTTCCGTAAGTCATCGCATCCCTAGTACCTTTCCAGCAGCCATAAAATACCTTTAACACTAATCATGTCAAACGGGTTCTAATGTAGGCCTGACACTTCCGTTTTTAATTGTTTGTCTTCTTAGACTTTCTGAATTAATGCCCAAGATGCAAATGTGTCGTACCAACAGTGCTAGTACTTAGCATTTGCTGTCCTCGTCTTGCCGATTGAAACCGACGCATGTTTTTTTCATGACTGGCTAACTTTATTCTACTGATTTTAGTTGACTCTTACGTTGTAGTCATATTTTCTGTTCTGTATTGGTGTATCTTTTCACTACCTCTCCCTACATTTACGGACCGCTGCATGTTTTTTTTACCATTTGAGGCTGCGTATACGTGCCAACTTGCCAGAAGAAGACCCTAAGAATGCCTTTCTGACTACCAGCTTCATACACGCCCTCCACTTTTCCGTCGAGGGCAAATATTCTCACCATAGTTTGTCTCACGTTTCTAATATTTCCCCCAAGACGGTTTCAGGACCATCTGTAATCCGCCATCTTGCTGTTATGTCAGGCAACTGCTGCTTTCCAAAAATAGACCACAACAGACTCGCCTTCCTCAGTAGTCTCTAAATTACTTAAGCGACTGTCAAGGTTTTCGACGGCGATCTTATCTTCGTCAATCTCCACATTTAGGTATCCTCTGAAGAGTTACAGCTTCGGAACCAAAGAGCCTAATTATGAGCGTGATCGTAGCGTTCCTGCAAGGTTCCAGCGTCTACAGGAAGACTTTGAGAAGTATGGTATGCGACATTCAGTGGAAGGTGTTCTCCTTGTGCATGAACACAACCTGCCGCACGTGTTGTTACTCCAATTGGGAACTTTTTTTAAACTTCCTGGTGGTGAGCTGCATCCGGGCGAGGAAGAAATGGAGGGACTAAAACGACTCTTATCGGACGTGAGCACTATCTTGTTGCGTTTTCTTTGATATTTTTAATTACTCTATGCTCTTCTGTTTATAGTAGTTCGCCCTCTTCAGAGTAAATCGGCACGCGTTGGTGCAATGGCCGTTACGACTTGTTTATTAATTACAGAGTGCCGTACTCTTTAGGGTTAAGTAAGCCTTAACAGACTTATGTCCGCTTATATCGCTTTCAGTGTCACCGTAATGTCTGACCGACGACGCCCCAAATATTATTAAATGCTCCGCGATTCCGACATGCTTCTACAACAGGCGATAGTGGATCGTATATGGCAAGCTATTCTAAATTGACCACAGATTTTTTACCGTCGTGATAACTTTAGAGAGAACTTCCTCTGTTAATAGCTCTTTAAAAATCGACTAGTGTTCCCAATTCTATAAGGGTCACTGTAGTAACTGAGAAAAAAATCGAAGGACTTTTAGTGGTGGACGAAGATGTTGGTTGATGGTTGGAAGATGTTGTAACCTGTTTAAGGTATTTTCTTTTCCTGCAAAAACACATTTCATGGCTCCGATCAATCCTTCAAGATTTTTTAACCTATGATGTCATTCTAAAGATTGACTGTTGTTGTCATTGTAAGCGTGCATCTTCCAGAAGACATGGATCATATTTGCATCGAGACATAGTTTCTCGTACTTAGCCTCCAACTAAATCATGGAGACCAGGACACGTCAGTTCTTGCTGGCCACTCGGCAAGGATCGTCTTTTTGTTTTGGCCAGTCGGAAAGAATCGGGGAAATATACTACGATCGAAGTCCCTAATAAACAGCAACCGCTGGGTGAAACCAGCAAATCCCGATAAGAATGTGGCGACAGGACTGATTATTGACAGGCAATCTTTCTTTTCACAATATTACTTTGGTTTGTGACCTGTGAACCATAGTTCTTAAATAAGGGACCATCCATCTCTGACGGTATAACCACCGCCTGATACGTAGGGATTCCGCCACCGTATACCCCTGATGCCCCAGTTAGGGTCTTATCTTTGCGGACGCACCGGGTAGTCGCAGATAAGTTAGCCACTCGCAGCCCTGTATACTCCACCACCCCCACCCCCGTGAACGTAACTCAGATCGGTCATATGCCAAACATGACTTCGCCTGGTAGTCTCGGTGATGTCTTTGTCTTGTCTCTCGTGCCATCTAGGTGGATCGGTTTGATAGGTAGCTGAAATTTCCAGCACTTCAACCCTGACTTAATTCTATGTCCGCGGTCGGCGACAATGAATCCGGTAAAAGCACCCTTTTTGATACGGCAGTCATCATTCCGTAAAAAGAACTGTTCATTTGTCTGCACCCAATCGCATCACCTGCACGAGTTGATAAGTAGCTTCTTGACTGCTTTTTTTGACAAGTAAACGATATCTGTAGTAATAGTCATTTATAATCAGGCTGGCAACCACATTATCATATTGGTTTTTCTCTTCAGATGCTTGGCCGCACAGATGGTGTGCCTGTGGAGTGGACTCCGGAGGAATGCATCGGCAACTGGTGGCGACCGAATTTTGAGCCCCCGCGTTACCCCTATATTCCTGCTCACGTGACGAAACCGAAGGAGCACACTCGACTCTACCTCATGCAGCTTCCTGAAAAGACACTTTTTGCAGTACCGTCTAATTATAAGCTTGTGGCTGCCCCGCTCTTCGAGCTTTTTGACAATTCTCGCGCCTACGGACCCATCATATCATCGCTGCCTCAGGTTCTTAGTCGGTGGGTTTCCGCTCTGTCTTTGCGCATTCATTAGGCACTTTGTTATACGTTCTTTGTGATGGAAGTGGCCCAATCGTTGTTTTATTTTTGCGGGGAGCGATCATTAGAGTTTAAAATTGCGAATAGAGCGTAAGACCACTGACTAAAGTTAAGGTGTACGGCTGTCAGACAGCTTGAATTCAAGCGTATTTCTGCCAACAATAGTGGCCAGTTTGTCCATAAATTCCTTTTAGACACGCGTTTGCGCTATAGCCGTTACTGCTTGTTTACAGTGCCGTATCTCGCCTACTCATCACAGTTAAGTAAACCTTAGCTGGCTTTTGTGTGCTTTTAGACATGTTTTCACTTTGGAAGCATGTCTCCTGAATCAAGTTCGATATTGCCAGCGTGGTGTAAAGTGACTGTTGTAAAGTGAAAGTACTACCTGCGCCAACTCACTGTCTATTCAAAAGCAAGGCCGACGTGAAGTGCAATGATTTCAGTGCTGGTTTTATGTCAAATTGATTTATTATAGCAGTACCTCATTGGGGGTAACCGTAGCGACACGCCCCGTCGCTTCGTCTTCCCATCAAGCCTCCAGTAATAAAACACACAGGTATCTTCTACACTCAGACTGTTTCCTGTGGTATTCCACTTACTGCTCACGTCTCAAAGATGCGTGCACTTATTTAAACCGGTGGCCTCCCGTCATTATTTGGACTGTCGTTTTTTTAACAGCGCACGGGCCCATCTTGCGTGTCTTCTAATCGCTTTAATTTTCCCCATTGCAGATTTAACTTTGTCTACAGTGATTGAACTCTTTGAACGTGGTCTGCACACGGTCCCTTGCATCGTGGAGTGGATAAAGATCGTTTTGTCACAACCAAAACGCTGCTCTGCCCTGTACATAACTGCCTCGCCACTCGTTTGCTCCGACCCCAGTTCCGTTCACGAACTTGAGTACATACTTGTAAAATAAAAGCTACTGAATCTACTTGAGTAGTTTCGTTTGATTTATTTAGATTGCGACACCTGGAAGTGCGCTTTGTCGCCGTCTCGTGGATGTGGGAGCACGCCATTATTCAACTACCTACAAAAACTCTCATTACTGGGTTTACTTTGACACTGCGTCTAATTCTTCACGTAAATCCGAACCAAACACCTTGGTCGTCTGTTTCACTGCCCGATTCACTGAATGAACCCGCACTTTTCGCTGTCTTTCCGGGTTGAGATTGCCTGTTGCCAAAAACTCAGACAAGGATCATAACCAAGGCTAAAAGTTGTTTCGAAGCCCGGTGTCTTGGTCTTGTTGAAAGTAGGCCTCCATATTCTTGTTTCTGTAGAGGACGGCGTGCCTTTCTATCACACTTCTTGTCCCTGAGAGGACGTTAAAACCCAATGCAGTTGTCTCCCAGAATGCTTTTAATCAGTCCAGGCTTAAAGCGCACGGCAGGCAAGTGGGAACATGGATAGTATACAGGAAGAGCAACCTTTGCCATACGAGTTTGGACACTTTGAGGACCGGGGCACTTTGTTTCAGTGGTTGATTCTTCCGCATCTCTTCCGAGTTCGACGTTTTTTCCTACTGTCAGGAAGGCGAGGTTCTCATTTGTGTTAAACAGCTTTTTGGGAACATCATATTGGCGGGTTTTAGGTATTCTGTTATAAGGCGTTTTTCCTGGCCAAGTAGCCTGTGGACTGCACTTTCCTGACCTTGGATCACCAGGCTGTGAGCGAGTCATTTTCGTGCAACTTGCGTCCTATCCGTGTGTTGTTTGATATTCGATAACAGTCCACTGCCGCCCGGCCGTCACTACGACATTAGACTGCGCGTCTGGCTACAGGGTTGGCTCTTCCTCTCGCGTTACGTCCGTCCTTTGGTTTTGCTGGGGCCTTGAGCGCAGTCCGTTATCGGGACTTCTTGCCAGAAAGCGCTGGCTGCAGTGTTGCTACATCTGCGGTTCTCCACCGAACTGCAATTGTTGAAAATTCTTTGAGGTCATTTGCGTGCTCAGCCAGAATTAAATATCGGGTCCCTACAGAAATGCGGGTCGGGTAAGGCCATTCCGTCTTCTCCTTGTCAGTATCGCTGCTTGATTTAACGTCGTCTTCGGAAGACAGCCTCTCCAGTTGGTCACCATAGGAACAGTACATCCTAGGGGCGTCGCTCATCGCAGGATTTTGAATGTTCTGATTGTATCTCCGTTCGTATAAGTTGGAATCCCAGAAGAACGAGTAAAATTTCTGTGGCGAGGAAGGGGCGAAACGCACGGATTCACGGTACTGCACAGCAGTCAGCTCTACGTTTGTCCTGCTCACACCAAAATGTCCAACTCGATGCCTCCCTGGCCGAATTATCGCAAGTGGCTGTCCACACCTTCGAAAGGGGTCGAGAGTTCAACTTTGCAGGCGCTAAGTGGATCGCTCAGGCTGGAGCAAGGCAAGCCGAGAGGAGGCCGAAGCCTGGACCTTGGACGAGGACTCAGTCAGTCGATGTGTTGTCGGCGTACGGAGCCCTGCGCAATTACTCCCATACCCGCGTTACTGATAATTGACCGACCAACACCCGCAAGCGTTGCTTGTTCTGTTGCTGCTGCCCCATCTGACGGTAGACTCAGAAAGACAAACAGAAATTTCCCCGTGCCCGATCAGTTTTCTTACACATAAATACACCTGGCTGTCGAACCTTCGCCTCAATTCAATGTTGGTAGTTCCGTCACCGGCCATACAAACGAGTAGAACAGTAGACCTACGAACACAGGAGGGCAGGCCAAGCATGCTTGAGCCGGCTACTGTGTTGGCCCACACTGTGTTTTTGTCTGACCCACTTACCCCTAATCTCCAGCGCCAGATATCGGGAACTGTTAGTTCTAGGTTGCGTATGCCAGCTCCTTGAGAATTTGAGTTGATGAGTGACTTCTGGTCTTGGGACATCGCGCTGTAGGTTGCCGGAAGATTGTTGTTGACGAAAAGTTTGCGGAATTCCAGTGTTCGGAAATTCGGGGTCACCAATTTGTGGCGGTCAAGGATGTGGGATCGACTTAAACCACGCACAATAAGTTCGTTTCGTCTACTGTCAGAAATCAGGGAGCTGTGAGGACTAGTTTATTCTGTACACAGGGCAGGTTGCCGTAAGTTGGCGGTTTGCTTGCAACAGAGAAAAGCGTCCGTTCACGGAGAGCGTCAGTCACGGTGTGTGTTGTTTACGCGGGTGTGAGTGTCTAGGTCAGCAGGAGGGGGTGACTGTCTGAGTGGTGGTAGTGTGATTGGACAAATTAGAGGACGAATGGAGGGCGCATACTCACAAGGCCTCACGGGAATCAAGCCAAAGCGTTCGACGCGCGTTAGGCGATACTAGTTTTTGAGTGCAGAAGAAGAAGAAGAAGAAGAAGAAGAAGAAGAGGAATAAGAAGAGGAAGAAGAAGAGGAAGAAGAAGAAGAAGAAGAAGAAGAAGAAGAGGAAGAAGAAGAGGAAGAGGGAGAGGAAGAGGAAGAAGAAGAAGAAAAGGAAGAAACGATCGGTTGCACCACTTGGGGTTGGTGTTGCACACAGACCGGAGGCCACCATGAGGCGTCAGGCGTTGAGACCGAAAGACCCACTGCCACGGCAAGGAACGTCTGGAGTCGTTTACCGGGCCTGGTGCAGTTGCGGGCAAAGCAACTGCGTCGGAGAAACTGGGAGACTGCTCCGAACGCGAGTTGGCGAACACGCGGCGGCGGCACCGAGAAATGACGCCAACTCTGAGGTCGCGGCCCATTCGACGAGACCCGGCCACACATTCAAGTTCGATGAGGCCGAAATTCTCGCGAGAGGGGATAATCGCGTGAGCCGCGAGTTGCTTGAGTCATGCTTCACGGGACCTCAGTCTATCAACAAGTGCAACGACATCCCCACTCCATATTCCGTGCTGAGGCATAGGCTGGTCAAAGTAATTGACCACTGGGGGAGCGCGCAAGCCGGTGAGCCAGGTGGCCGAGCAATCATCACGCCAGCGTCCAGCACGGGTGATGACATTTCAGCAGTTAACAACTTGCTTGCCGGCCATCAAGCAATTAGCGCACCAGCGGGCAACAATCCTTGATGATGGGGAGCACGGTTAATTGAAATAGGTATGCGGTAGCATAGCGACTGCATCCTATAGATACTGCAACTTCCTTTGCACAAGTCACCCTTTCCTGCCATTGTCTCTGATGATGGATTCAAGTTAGAATCCGAAACTTCAGGCGAATAAAGCCCTCGTTCCAGCGATCGCTTATTTTTCTGATGACCAAAATTAGTTTGTGGCCCTATGCATGTGCGCCTAAGCTTAGGTACTGAGCTTTCAGTCGAGTTTCAAACCACGGATTGGGTGATTGGCGATGAGGGTATGGAAGAGGCTGCGTAGATTCGTTTGTCAGCGTAACTCGTTTGTACCTCAGCGAGACTCAATAAGAATAAACTTATATTCCACGGGGTTTTATTCTCGGATTTTGAGGACAGGACGTACGAGCTTTTCTTGGCCACATCTACTGACTTGTCTGGGAGGTTATCTGAGGGTGGACTGTGCCTGCTTCTTTCGTAATCATAAGAGTTCGCGAAACGCAGCAACTGCTTGATGCGAGGCTTTAGAGATAGAAAAGCATGTCAAGTGTTAGGGTTATGAATGAGAACAGAAAGTATGATTGCGAGAGATTAGGAAAGTAGGGAGTGATAATGGAAGGACGCACACGGATTCGTCCCACTGATTCAGATTTGGCCGGTTGGAGATGGTGCTAATGACAGTCCAAAGACGCGAATAACGTGACGAATTGCCAAAGTACAAAAGACAGGTTGGTGAAGAAGTCATTTAAAGATGGCCAAAATGAATTACTATGTGGTTGAGGAAAGTGTAGTAGGATCTCACTGTCTGGGTATCCGGCGAGGAGTGAACGTGTAAGCCCTCCGAGAAAATACAGAAGAGGGACACCTGTAAAAGTGGGAGGATGTCAGCATTGGCTTTGCCAGCAAGGCAGATGAGCGCGACAATTAGCGGGATCCCCGGAAGGAATTGAGAAAACCCTCATTTCTGCCGTGCGTTTGTTTCGTTTCTCCAGTGAGGCGCCGTGCAATTTGAAATACGCGTATTAGGGGTGTGTTTGTAATTGGGCGGAAAACAAGTAATTTAAAATTATTGGTTAGAGGAGACTGGATTGAGTAAGGCGGTATGCGGCAGGCAAACCTAGTCTAGATTCTAACTAACGGCAAAAATCCGGGTGCCAACCATTTGTATTTATCCTAAACTTGAACGCTTGCCATTGATAAATCTCAGCGTATAATGCTTACCTAAATCAAGTAGATAGGCAAGCCACAGTAGACAAAACTAAGGGCTGACGGTCGATCGCCGAATTTTCTATGCATGTTGGCGGAGTATCTGGCACAAATGAGTAGGCAGTAGGCTGGCAAAGAAGTACATATTAACGGTTATTATCCGCTTACGTTTTTAAGTGTAAAGTTCCGATGTGAAGGTATGCTGACAGACAGGGAAACCGCATCAAAGTTTTTGGGCGAGAGAGAGAGAGAGAGAAAGAAAGAGAAGTTAAAGGTCAGCCGGCTCGATTAGAAAAAGATTCCGGATCAACCACTTGAGACTCGAGTCTGAAATATGTTGTCGAATAGAGATGTAAGAGAGCTCTGACGAAGTCTTTGGAGCGTTAAATTGGACCTCGAGCTGTTCCAGATGGTCAGTACTGCATGAATTAGGGTGAAGACAGAATCAAAGATGAGAAGTACCCAGGGCCCCACATTGTGTATGCTGGGTTTCCGTGCGGGATGTACGTCTAACATAAGACAAATTGTGCCCTCCCAACACCCTCAGCGAGCGTGATGCACCTCACCCCCATGCCCGACCCCAAGTCCGGACCCTGTTACCTGTGGCTGCTAACTAACCTGTCGATTAACGATGGTCGACAGTCCACGGCTGGCGCCTGGAACGGACTTCCCGATGACGTGATAACGGTGGATTCCACGGAGACATTCAAGCAAAGACTATATGTATATTTGCTTAAAAGATAGCGCTTGTCTGGACAGAACAGCTCTGCTGTGCCAAACCAACGCCTTGCATACACCTACCGCTAATGCGGATGATTGTAATTTCACCATTATCATCTACAACTGAGTGTTCTCTAGTTTCGGTACTGCATTTCCAAAGTAAAATATTATGCGAAATGTATATACTTCTGACAGCATTTTAGTACCATGTTTATTTAAAGTAGTAATTGTGTACACCGTTTTCAGTAGGGGTTTGAAAGGCCTTGCCCATTACCCTTGAAATAAACTGACCTAGACTGACCTTAAACACAAGTCAGGGAATACTGTTGTTTAGGCAAGCGTTACCGCCGGAAAAAGGAGTCCGCACAGTTCAGCAGACAAAGCCAGCAAGTATCTTCGCAAGCCGTGTCAACCGTGTCGCCTAGACGCGAAATGTATGCCTGCGGCTACGACCAGTCGATAAAGACATGCATATCGATCGGCTTCATGGCGTCGGGGAGCCGACGGCTAAATCACGCGGACACACTCAGTGCTTGGCAAGCCTGCTAAACCGACTGAAGGCGGCATGGGTAAGCGGCCTAGTTGACGACCGTGAAGGCGAGACACTACAACGCAGCCTCCATCCAACCTCCTAGGGACATTAATCCGTAACGAGCTAGTACAGTAGGTGGGCTAACTCATGAAATTTCAGCCGGAATTCCGAAACGCTTTTTCGTTTCGACAAGATCAATTAAGTAGGGCTGTAAAACTAATCAGCCTGCAACGTAATTCTATAATATTTCAGTTACCTCAGGATGCCGGCTTTCGAACGAACTTCCTTCCGGTTGCATGCAAAAACTACACTCTGCAAAAAATGACTACTCATATAGCATCAATTTTTCTCGTTGATTTTCGATGCCCCTAAAAGTCCAATTATATTTCATTAAAAACATGCATAAGAATATTCATTCTTTTGCTCATTTGGTAGATAATTTCGTCGACCTCTAATTTTTACTCGAAGGCGGGACATAATTCGGTTTTAAAAAAGTTTCTAATTGTGGGACTTTTAAATACCGTGAAGTGGCCGTTCATAAATCGCCATGTTTCTGCATTTACCAATGTGGCTTGTAAAGTTAACAATATGGATCAAATGCACTGCTTACTTTTATGAACCCTATATAGTCCCCCTTTATTACCGTAGAGAATTGTGTGGTTTGCCGTACGCGGAAAATATACGGCTTGTAGTTTAGAAACCCTGGATCCAAGTGTAACGTTAGAGCAGGTTCAACATTATTCGGGAATTGGAAACGTTTTTGAAAACCGAATTATACCCTTTCTTCGGGTATAAGATTGGAAGACGTAATTATCTACCGAATGAGCAAAAGTATGAATGTTTTATGCATGTTTTTAATGAAATATAATTGGACTTTCAGGGGCATCAAAAATCGATGAGAAAAATTGCTGCCACATGAATAGTCATTCTTACAGAATGTTGTTTGTGCATGCAGCCGGAAGGAAGTTCATTCGAAAGCCGGCATCCTGAGGTAACTGAAATATCATAGAATTATGTTGCAGGCTGACTAGTTTTACAACCCTTCTTAATTGATCTTCTCGAAACGAAAACGCGTTTCGGAATTTCGGTTGACATTTCATGCGTTAGCCCACCTACTGTAGTCCTGTCGTCAGAAAATGTAGTCCAGTTATTCTCTGCAGTAGCCTGACGGTTAAGCACTGAATGATATCGTTCGCTAATACGTGTTCTGTAGTATTAGTGATGCTTGTTTAACTTAATATAACATTTGAGGTGATCTTCTGCTGGAGTTCGTGTGATGGTCCGATTGCTGCAGTCAGCGAACTCCCGCCCTGTCTCACGAGACGGGCACTACCGCGGATTGAGTGTGACGTCGTGTATACTGAGGTAAACTTGCGTAGCTGCAGACTCACTCTCTAGGCTGACACAGTGCGTTTGGATGGTAAGACAGAGTGGAGCTGGCTGGCGGTAAGTCTGTAAGCAGTGGCCGACGAAGCTAAACAACCCATTCGCACTGACGTACAAAACGTGATTACTAAGAGGAGCTCCTTAGAAGGGCGTAGTTTTGTTTAACAGTCTCCCAACGAACCCTTCCAGTCAAAATCGACCTTCCCATTTACACGGGGATCGTCTAATGCCTCTGTCGGATTGAGGCTCGTGTTTTTATGCTAACGACGCATTTTTATATTGGATACGGGGAGCTTTCAAGTACTGATCACCATACAAATGGAGGCTCATACCTGGCGGATATCGTTGGCCGGTGAAACCTAGGCTGTGATAAGTAATATCTACCGCGACGTTAAAGTATTCATCAGCCTTACCGTTGCTGATCAATGTTGGCCTGTCCAACAGGTTTCTTACGCATTCTGCTAAAAACGTTACTGCCTAGGGGATTCGCAGAGGGAGTAGCCCCTCTGACAGAGTGACACTTGCGACCAATTCCTACTTGTTTGAGTTGATAACTAGACCTGTTGTCCGTTGGTTATCTAGAGATCCTTGAAATTGTTCTGGGCTCATTGGGCACTCCCCAGTAACCAATTCACTTGATAAG